GAGGGAGAGAGGGAGAGGGAGAGAGTGAGTGAGAGTGAGAGAGGGAGAGGGAGAGAGAGAGGGAGTCTTTGGAAGGGGGTATTTTTCTGATTTGTTCCGCTCTGTTACTGACCTGATGAAATATTAACATTTTTATTTACTGGTGACAAGAGGAGCCACTGCAGAACAGAAAAAGGCATAAAGAAATCCAAATGGGTGACATCATGGCTAATCAGCAGAGTTAAGGAAGTGTCAAAAGATAAGATAAATTTAGAGTGGATGCCTAGCCAAAATGAAGACAATAAAAGGGGGGAAGGAGGAAATGTCTGAAAACCAAATGCAAGTTGACAATAAAAGCAAGCAGAGGAAGAAATTGCTAAAAATATAAGAGCTAATCACTGGGAAGGAAAAACCATTTAGAAGTAAGATTTCAGCCAAAGACAGGAGAAGTGTTTCATCACCAAAGTGTAAGAAGAAGACAGGAAAAGTTGGGGAGGGGACTTTAAGCATGATTTACATTAGCTTTCAGTGCAGAAGCTGTTATAGACAGATCTGACCCACTGTCAGCAAGCAGAGTGATGCAGGGTTTTCAGACTCTGAACTTAATGGTCTTATTTCAGAAGGGTGTCTGTCCTCTTTAGATAGCAGCATCTATGGCTTTAGCCCCTTCAAAATGTGGTCCTGGTGTATTTGGGGGGTCTTGTTATCCCTTCTGCCATGAGAGCTGTGAACCTCCATCTCACATTCCTACTGCAGCAACATCGCTCAGCGTATCACACACAAAACAAAGGAGATGACAAGCAACTGATGAATCAAGCAGTAACAGTGACCAGGACTGGGATGGCATTCAACCATTAATGTAGCATAGAAGAAATAACCCTTTGCCCAGAAAAATGTACATGTGGCAGGACTGGGATGGCATTCAACCATTAATGCAGCATAGAAGAAATAAACCCTAAACCTTTGCCCAGAAAAATGTACATGTGTGTGGCAAGAAGAATTGTTCACCACAATTCGCCAGCATTTACAATTGGCCAAAATCCTGTTGCACAAGACATAACTTTCAGCAGTGAACGATGAATTAAGGAATCTCCATTGCCATATCTGCTTGCCACTAAAAGTTAACCCTTTTGCATAACTGCACACTAGGATTTCAGCCATTATGACATCAGCCAGCAGTAGAGAGAAAGACTTCACCCAACAGTGCTCAATAAAGCACCAGAGGGCAAGCAACAATTTCTTGGGCCAGCTGTTCTCTCTCCCTAGTATGAATTCCAATGCCAGTCTCAACCCCACTTTGTTGTTGTTCTGTGCAGTCAAGTTGTCTTCAACAAACCCCACTTTGTTGTTGTTCTGTGCAGTCGTCTTCAACTTATGGTGATCTTATGAATGAGCAACCATCAACATGTCCTGTCCCCAACCACCCTGCTCAGCTCTTGTAGACTCAAGTCTATAGCTTCCTTTAGGGAATCAGTCCCTTTCATATTTGGTCTTCCTCTTTTTTTTCCTGTGGCTTTCCACCTTTCCCAGCACTCTCGTCTTTTCCAGAGAATCCTGCCTTCCCACGATGTGCTCAAAGTTTCATCATTTTTACCTCCAGATAAAGTTCAGGCTTGATTTGATCTGGGACTCCCCCTTTCTCGAAGTACAAATTATCCTCAAAGCTTTCCTCCAGCACCAACCCACTAGCCTGTCTTAAATAAGAATTTCTCAGCCCAACTGTTGTGCAGTGGTAATCACCATGGAAAACATTCAAGGGCTTTGTAACCCTTTAAAACTGACAGATTTATTTCAGCACAAGCTTTGATGGATTACAGCCCACTTCCTCAGATGCACTAGTGGCATATCAGGAAGTGGGATGTACTCTATCAAAGGTCATGCTAAAATGAATCTCGTAACAAAACAGATGTGGCAACTCCTTTGGAAATCCTCACAGAGGCTGATCTGAACAACTCCACTGAAAAAAAGCAGGGAAGTATTGGCAAGAATGAGGTGGCTGCAACGCTGACAGATTTCCTCAAAATGCTGAAGAGTACCAGCAATGGCCCTGAAGGCCAGTTAACTTTGCTGTGCCAAAGAAACCCAACTTCAGCAAGAGATTTCCAAAGATGAATAGAACAACTTCACCTGTGTCCACTGAGAATGTAACAGCAAGTGCAAGTGTGTACTGTATATACATGCTCAATACTACAGTAGGAAAAAAAATGCAGTTTGGGCATTTATCGCAACAAGCCCTAGATAAGAATCTAAGAAGATAGTTCTCTTCCTCAAACTATAAAGTAACACTTCATCTCAAGTTCAGCAACAGGTCCAGCAATTTTTGTCTCCACCAAAGGCAAGTCATCTTGATAGCCTGGTCCAGACCAGACCACCCCAAAAAATTTTGTATCACAGCAGAGATAGTTCATAACAATAGATTGGTTTGGGGGCAATCTGTTTCACAACTCCTTTCAGGTTCAGAGGAGTGGCAGATAACACCACTACCTCTGCTAATCAAAACGACTCTCTGCTTCTTCAGCCACACCGGTCCCGGATCCACCGCACTTCTACACAGGTAGGCCCAGCCCTTCCGCTCAATGCCCCATCGACATCTATCCTCCTGCCACTTAAAACCACTGCTTTTATCTTCTGTCATCAGCAGGAAAAGTCTCCTTTCCGGTGACCTCTTTAAATGTTTAACAATTTTTCACCAAACAAGACAATTGAAGCCGACTCCTTTTTGGAAATTACCAGTGTAACAGAACTCGAGGGATCAACTTTCTTTATTAATCAGACTAAACTCCCACTTTTAACACTCCCTGGACCCCCCCAGAGAAGTAATCAAAACCACAGATGACTCAACAAATGTAATGCTTACTGCAAAAGAAAACATGCAACAGGGAAAGGATGGAAGCTGGGGGTATGAAAGCAAGCAGAACAATAAATAAATTCAAACTAACTCCATACGTATATAACCATTCTACGCACAGTACCTTAAATACATCTTATGTGCCCTTCCCCTTATGTGCAATCAATAAGAGATGTTGTATTTTAGGAAAGGGAATTTCTATTTGAAGGCAATGGAATTCTCAGCTGATTCCTGGTTTTTCCCCACCAGGTCATGTACCTGCTGGACGAGAACTCGTCTGCCTTCTTTCTGAGAAGTCCCCCTGTGAAGTTCTGTAACCTCTGCCATATGAAAATCAAATTCATATGCTTGTCTTGTGTGTGAAACTACTGTGTAACACTGAGTACTGCTGGGCACACAGTTTATCTCATTTAATTAAAAAAAAGTAATTTAGGCCATGAATGGAACCAATTTCTTACCTCCAATTAAAGCGAATAGGTAATAAAAACATTTTAAGTATAAAAAAGGAGAGGTTACCTACCTGTAACCATGGTTCTTCTAGTGGTCCTCTGTGAATCCACACAATTGGGGTTGTTCTGCGCCTGCGCAGGACGTTTTGAAAGTTTCTAGAGCTTAAAAACATGCGATAGTGAGACATTCCCCCATGGAGCGCATGCTCGACCCTCCCAACGTCCCCTCAGTTCCTATAATAGTCCGCTGCTCTCAAGGTACTGTATTAAAAGACAACGTGATGGACAGAGGGGAGGAAGGGTGGGATGTGTGGATTCACAGAGGACCACTAGAAGAACCATGGTTACAGGTAGGTAACCTCTCTTTCTTCTTCGTGGCCTCTGTGAATGCACACAAATGGGTGACTGACAAGCTCACTTGCCGGATGGTGGGACATCACAGTAGAAGACATGTCAGGATCGCTCTGCCAAATGCATCTTTGCCCGGACATCAAGGCGATAATGTCTCACAAAGGTTGATGGGTTAGACCAAGTAGCTGCACGGCAGATGTGTGGGAGCTCTATTCCACGGTGGAGAGCAGTAGAGGTCGACAGTGCTCTAGTAGAATGAGCTTTTAAGTGCTCAGGAGGTGTCTTGCCTGAAAGCTCATAAGCCAATGATATAGTCTGAACAATCCAATGAGAGATGGTTTGAGATCAGGCTGGAGCACCCTTATGAGGGCATTGAAAGCATAAGAAAAGTCTTGGGGACGTCCTAAATACTTTTGTCCTATTAATATAGAAGGCTAGAGAACGTTGTACATCCAGCATGTGGAGCATGCGCTCGAGGGGTGTAGAGGGAGATGGAAATAAGGTTGGCAAAATCAATGGTTGATTAAGATGATGGTGAAGGGGATGTGGAGGGTGAATACCCTGGTGTTATGATTGGATCATCCCTGTCTGAGGTTGAAACAGGGGCATCTCTAGATGATTCCTCGAGAATAGGTGAAGGAATCACTGGCTGAGGATCAATTTGAGTTGATTTTGTCAGTTTCTTTGGCTTTTTTTTTCTTAGTCTTATCCTTTTTAGATGAGTCATCCAGACGGGTTGGAGCTCTCGAGGTGGAGGTTGAGCTCGATTTTGTAGTAGATTTCAAAAGTTCTTTCTGACGAGATGGTACGTTGTCGGGCTCAATATGGAGCGAACTGTTTCTCATGAAGTTGGTGATGTTGTTGGGTCCATGGCTGTATTGAGGGACTGTTCCCACAGGTAAGATTGCAGTCTTTGCAATCGTAATTTTAGGGCAGGTTTAGTTGAGTTTTTTAAACGCAGGACACGAGTGAGTCTGATG